ACCCTTGTATTGTGATAATTTTGTCGTGAGATTAGTAATTCTTATAGTTATACTTAGTTTTATTTATTAGTTTTAGTGTCATTTTATCCTGTTGTCTTTGTAAATTGTAGAAGGTTTACACGGATAATAACACCAGTGCAACTCCATCTACTCTTTTGTCATCTCATCTTAGAAGGTATGGCTGCATAAGCTATCTGGTAAAATTACTGTGACCTGTTATCAGTGAATTACTTCAACACAGCAGGAGACATATAAGAAGGAAAAAATCGAATGTTAATATGGATTTCCAATTTTTTAGAAGAATACAGATGTAATATAACGCAGATTGGCTTATCTAAACTTTTTGGTGTTAGCATAAAATGATGCATATTCAAGAACGATATAATAATTATGATATATTAATTACAGAAAGAGAAAAAATGATCTATTAACTAAACACTAAACAAAAAAAAAATCTATCAAGAAGTCATGCATTACATGTATAAAAACAAACTTTTAACCATCTTTATCAATGGACATACAGGTTGTGATAAAACATTTTTAGTAAACACTATATGTACTACAATAAGAAGTCTAAAAAAAATTTTTCCATGTGTTACGACCAGCTTGGCAGCATTGAATTATAATGGAGGACGTACTACATATTCGCTATTCCACATTCTAGTTGAGTATAATGACAAAAATGCAAATATCAAGTTAACTTGAATAGCGAATGTGCTGAACTAATTAGAGAAATATTAGTTATTGCTTGAGATGAATTACCAATGGTACAGAAAGGCAATATCGAAGTAGTAGATATGTTACTTCGTAATCTTTGTCATCATGATCTACTGTTTGGTGGAAAAATTTTCATTAGTATAGGAGATTTTTATCAAGTTGTTCCAGTAATTCCATGTGGCAAGTAAGCTGCTACAGTTCTTGAATTAGTTAAATTATCTTCGATATGGAATTCATTTAAAATTTATAATCTTCAAAAACTGGTTTAAGATGTTCTTGATATGGAATATTTACGACTTATAGATGATATTGGTAACAGTATTAATGGAGAAAATATTTCATTATCCTTATTAACTACAACACACAAATTAGATGATACAATTGATTTTATCTTTCCCACATCTATATTAAACAACTCAATTGCATTTCTCCAATGAGCTATTCTTTGTTCATTAAATGTGGAAGTGAACTCAATCAACAATATCATTCTTGAATGATTAGAAGACAACGTAACTAACTTATATAGTATAGATGATATAGCAAACAATATCCAATAGGAAAACAATACAATTACTACAGAGCTATTAAATTTATTCAACGCACCTGGAATATCAAAGTATTGTCTGACATTAAAACACAAATGCATAGCGACTATAATGTGTAATTTTTCATTATATGAAGACTTGTGCAAAAATAGTAAAGTCATTATCTTAAATATTGGACATCAATTAATCACAGTGAAAATCCCCTTAACAAACTGTGTTACATATTTATCACGAATTACCTTCCTATTTTGTATTTTTTACTTTTTGTTTAAAATTAAATGTTATCAATTCCCTTTGTGTTTAGCTTACTCCTCAACATTTAATTCCTCACAAGGGTTAATATTAAATCAAGTTGTACTCAACTTACGTACTCACATATTTAGTCATGATCAACTTTATACTGTTCTAACTAGAGTCCATCAAAAAAATCACATTCTTATAGTAACTAAAAAAACCATCCATTAAATTTTTTCGTTACTAAAAATATTATATATTCTGAACTATACTTGCATGCAAAATTATTTTGAATCCCGAAATTGTAATTTCAGAAAAAAAAGTCAAAATAGTTTTTCATAGAAGACAAAATTATTTTACTTAAAACCCAAAATTTTCTGACCATCCAGATTTATTCTTTGATTAAAGATACATATAACTGGATATTTTTTTTACTTCCATATATAAAATAGATTTTGCATGTCTCAAAAAGTCGAAATACCTCAAAAATTCAAAATCAATTTTGGGAACATGTATATTCTGAACTACTTAAATGAATTTAAAAATTTGACATGAAAAATTTAAATTACAATTATGAATAAACAATAAACAATACAATAACTAATATTTAATTTTTTTATCATAATCATAATCATAATAAATAAATAAATATAAAAAATTTTTTTAACTTTACTACACAATAACTAAACAATAACAAGTTCATTTATTTAAGATATTATGTAATGACTACAATAAATAAAATATCAAATTAAAAAAAATTAAAATTATACTTAACTATAATTGGTACATAATTCTTATTAAACAAATAACTTAAGACATTATAATCAATATATGTAAAATATAAAAAAAATATTTGCACAAAGATAAATTAATGAAAACTCATTATTTTTCACCACTAATACTAGGATTATAAGATTTCAAGGTACTATGCAAAGATTGATTAGTATAACTTTTTTCCTTATCATCATTTTGAATATTCCTCTTACACTTCACTTTTTTTATCACAACTTCAGTTTCATTACATTGAATATTACCATTAACATCAACTCCATAAGATTACAAATAACTTTTTTTTGGTATCACTCAAAACACTTACTAATTTATCAATTGGCTCAATTTTTATAGGTTTTGATGAAAAGGTATTGTCATTATTGGTAAAACCTTCTAAAGATATTTCAACTTCTACAATCTCTCTCAAGTTTTTAACAACATTACGATGAAGAAGGATAAGCTTAGATCAAGTTAAATTAACACCTTCTGATGAATTATGCAAGTTATTATCAAGACTCCTTTGCCTAAATAAAAATTGAGTATTGACAAAATTGATATCTTTCGTACAAACATAAAAATCATTGTCAATAACTTCCATTTGATCTACAACAAAAACAAGTGAACCCTGTAGACGAATTATGTTTTTTAAAGATACAAATTGAGGATTAAGATGCTGGAATACAATCTTAACAGTAAAATTATAATCTTGACCAACATAATTAATTACTAAAACATTCAAAACAGTATTCACTGGTCAAAAATTAATAAATTATACATATATCAGATACCTGATATATGCATGGTATGTCCTTAATATCGGGCATATATCGGGTACCCGATAGGTGTAGAAAATATTTTATATATATATCGGGTATCCGATAAGTGTAAAAAATATTTTCTACACCTATCCGGTACCTGATATATACCTGATATTAGGATGTACCATGCACATATCAGGTATCTGATATGTATATGATTTATCAATTTTCAACTAATGATTCTCATCATTCTCAATTACTTGTAGCAATTCCTGGAGAATTCCTACTAAAGAAACTTTCAATGGACATTTGTTTGAATTAATAGCTTTATTAAGAATGGTCAAACCAGTAGAGACAGAAACTGTCATCTATGTAAAAAAAAGATAAGTAACACTTTATAAAATTAAATTAATCAATAACCATTACCTTCGGTCTCTTGACATCACCATAATACAAGGGCACAATTTTATCACCAACAGAATAAAAACAATCCTTAATAAAAACAACTTGTTCTTGAAATCTCTTTTGTCAAAATTAATTGGAACAAATAAAATCATTTTAATCTCATTATCCTTATGTTCTACTGGATAGGGATATCTGAAAAAAACTCTTTCTAACGATCATTTTGCCAGAATTTTCAAGGAAGAGAAAAATATAAAAAACACTATAAACAAATAATACAAATAACAACAAAACATGAACAAGGAAAAGCAGGGTGAACGTATACATCCCAGACGAACCACAGCAAACTATGGAACTAAAAAGAAACATGAAACAATAAGCATCAGCAAGAAAGGTGGAG